TGCTAGGGAGTGGAAGGGCTCGAGAGCTCGCTGGAGCATTGGCGCTGCCGCGGGGTAGGTGGTTCCTGCAGGTCTTCACCCGCGTCTGTGCAGGCAGCGGAAGAGGAGGAAGCACTGGGGCGAGCCTCACGTGCGGTGGCTTTTTGCGCAGTCACCGTAAGAGGTTTTTTTTTTCGTAATAGAATAGAAATTCAGTATCTGCAGAAACTTGTTCCCAAGGACGTTCCATATCCCTCTATTATTTGATGAAGGGCATTTGCTAGTTGTGGTAGTGTTGCGGAGGCAGTACAGTCGGGAGGGCTTACTGCAGAGAGAGGTAAAGTACTCTGCATTACCGGGGGCAGACTAAGCATGTCTAGTTCAGTAATTTGTCTGGGTGGGTCGTTCCTGTACGCTAGTGATTCTGTAGCTGTTGAACGTTAATACTGTTAATTAGAAAGGCAAATCTAGTTAAAGTTCTCAGTAGCTTGGGAACTTGTGTGTAAGGGAAACATTTATGTATACTTTGTGTATGTCGTCTTGCACTTCTGCGACAACCGGATCTACATGAACTATGTATGAGTTTATCTTCCGTAAAGTCACAGCTCTCCTCTAAGTCAATGGGAAGAGAGGGGAAGGAGATATACGTTACAGACAAAAATCAGCATGGCACAGAAATGTTTATGTGACAGAAATTTGGCTAGAACAGAACTACTTAATTGAATCATAGTAGTACTTTTTCAAAAAGAAAAAAAATAATAAGGACTGATGTTCTTGAACTATCTGCTGCCAGCAGGGGTGGGGAGGGGAGTAAACAGTTATTGTATTCTGCACAGATTAGATTCAACTATTACTTTTTACAGAAGAGTAGGTTAACTTGAGATCAGGCATCAGTTTCAAGTAGAGCAAGGACTAGTCTGCAGTGACAGATGGTTGGTTCTGTAAGTGGACTTTGCAGACAGGAGACAAAACTTAACTGTAAACTAAGATAAAATTTGATTGCATTAAGTTGGAATTAAATTTTTTTTGCTTTATTTGCAGTATGTGACTTGCGTGTATTACGGCATGTGTAATATACTTAGGTCTATTATTTAAAAAAAACAAAAAAAGTTTCAAACTGATGAATATATTTCTGTTTTTCAGACTCCATCAGCTATTCAGAAGATAAAACAACTTCTTAAAGATAAACCTGAGCATGTAAGTGCAAACGGGGCCATCTTGTAGATTGTATTAAGGTATTAGCACTGTTGATGATTATGAAGCGTTTCTGGCTAACCTAGTAGCTTGAAATAAATATTGAACACCTTAGAAATGTTGATGCCTTTTTTGGAGGGCAATGTATCAGCTTATTTATCTATCAAGCTTTAGTTTTATTTAAAAATGAAATCCAGAAAATGAATGATATTTCACTGTAGTTACTTTTGAAATAGATAAAATTGGAAAAAATAATTAAAACTTCAAAATGTTTCTAATCTAGTTTTTAGGTAACTATTCTAGCATGGCATAGGTGGTGACTTCTGGTAGGGCTGGAGGATCTCCAACTGTTGATTTGAAGATGTTGTTAATCAAGTTCTCGAAGGAATTCTGGCTCTGAAATAGGTAATTATAATGATAGATTCATACCCATTGAAAAAAGGTGTAATTCTTATGAACCTTGCCAGACAACATATTTTTGTAAATAATAATTCACTTTTCACCAAGTAACTGATTGAACTTGTCATTTTTTCTTCTTGGGAAAAACACATACAGTCTTCCTTCCTAAACATCATAAAAACAAGCGTTGGGTTTTCTTCTTCACAGCAAGTACTATTTCAGGAAGGTTGTTTCTTTTTTAACTTTGTACAAATACCTATTGTTTCTTTTCCTTCCTGCATGATTGCAACTAATTAGACTCTTTTTAACATTTTAAACCATCCTAAGGAAGCCTTAAGCCTACAGCTTAGCTGGTTAGTCATCCCCTTGTTGTAACTGGGGTTCTTTTTTTTTTTTTTTTTCTACCCTATTATTTCTAGCTGTCCTTGTAGAGAAGGGTATTTAATCTGAAAAGAACAAATGCTGTTTGTCTGAGATCCCACTTGATGACAACTATGGATACGTTTTTATCATAACACTTTTACAGAGGTTACTGTACTTTTTCTCTCTAATTATGTAGTGAAGCATACATGTTTGAACAGAGGTACAGATACTTTTGGAAGATTTAGTTTTCTGGTTCATGTGTCCCTACAACCATTTCTCAGCTCCTTACTTATATAGATGTTCTTTTTGTCTGACATACAACATCATGTTGTTTTAATTATTTGCAATTATCCATATTGACTAGGTTGGCCTTTAACGTTGATTACTACAATAAATGAATAGACGTACTTGCCAAAAAGGAGAGACAGGATTGATTTTAAGTAATGAAGATCACAAACAAAGTAATTTTTTCAAAACTTTGGATTGAAGTGAAAGTTTTCTGGTAGCCATTATAGGAGTTCCATGAAAATCTAGTAACAGCCCTTGGCTTGGCATCACAACTTCGTAATTAAGTTACTGTCAATAATCTTAAAATAGTGCCTGAACTAATAAACTTTCATTAGAAGTCACAGAAATCTCTGTCTTTGAAATTTAACTCTGACTTTTATGACATTGAGCACCTACAGAAGTGCTGATAGTTTATTACTTTAAAATGGTAGGGGTTTTTTTGTTTAGCACGCTTTAGGGCTTTGTCCACAATAGCAAACATCTGATGTGTGACTTATTGCTAGTATAAATAAAATGATTAATAATCAACAGCAGAAGTGGTAATGACAAGTATAACCGTAGACTCAACTGATGTATTCTTGCAGTACTGTCACTTTCACATAAAATGTGCAATAAAATAGAACAAATGTAGCATGGAATGAAGAGCCAGATTTTTGCCAATACCAACCCAGATGAGAGTTATAAAATGAGAAATAAATATATATGATTTGTGTTCTAACTTTTACCTTGATAGTTAGTTTGTAAAAGAGAAAAATGTTACCTTCTAATCCATTAAGCTTCTGTTTTAGCATTGGGTTTGAGACAGGGAAGAATAAATATCAGCATTTTGTTGTTATGCATGCTTTTTATCTTGGTGTTCCAGAAGATGTTTAAAACATCATTAATGTTTTATTTCAGGTAGGTGTGAAAGTAGGTGTTCGTACAAGAGGATGCAATGGACTTTCTTACACATTAGAATATACAAAATCAAAAGGAGACTCTGATGAAGAAGTAGTTCAAGATGGTGAGTTTCTGACGCAGTAAAGCAAAGCTGTGTGGTGGTGGGGAAGAATAACTTAATTATAAGTTTGCCAAGGGACAGGTTAGAACTTCTTTGAAGTAACAAGTTATAGAGGCAGAAGTCCTAGCATTCTGTTATAGAAATTGTTGCCTTAGTTTTTGTTGTGAAGGTGTAGATTTGCAGTCGAAATGAAAGTTGGATCAAGGATACCCCTCATTTTATGCCCATGTTGGATTAAGTTGGAATTCTCTAGGATAACAAGAGAGTCTGTGTCCTGGGTCAGAATAGATGATCTAGCTTATTATTCCAATCTTTGGAGGTAGCCAATAGCAGATATTTAGAGAGAGTATAAAACAAGGCATATCTAGAAAAATACTTTACCAGTATACCTAAAATAATCTTGGCAAGATAAAGATTTTCTGCAAGGAATTTTTCCAGTCTGTCTTTTCTAATAACTAGCCTTATCCTTCATTAACTTAAAATTTAGTTTTAATCTCTTTATGCTTTTGATCTTGACATTGTGACAATGAATTCTATAACTTTAATTAAGCAGTGTATTGAAAAATTTTATTATGCTGGCATTTAAGATTGCCACCTGATAATTTCATTGAGTACCCCATCATAGGTCTATTGTTAAAGTACTGAATAATTGTAGCATAGATCTTCCTAATTTTTATAGAAACTTCCTAGTTTGACAAAAAGACCACTGACAGATTTTTACAGAGGCATAATAATGTTTGTCTTGGTCTCTGTTTGATTTCTGTTTCTTTTTTTAAAATTCCTAAAATTCTTTATTTATTTTTTTAGACCTTATTGAACTTTGCTATGTTTAGGTCCAGGAAGATTATTTTTAATCTGGTGGCAAAGTCGGAGATTAGAGTAAGAGTGGGGTATCACAGTTTCTTTCATACAGAAGTTGCGCTGCTTGGCAGAGCCCATCTTTCAGCTGCTTTGGAAGTATCTGTGACCAACTCATAAATTTTGTTCTCTTAAAGAGAGAATTAGTTGGAACTTGAGCAAATAATAACATTGAGCTGGGGTAGATGAGATTATGAATGCCATCTAATTTTGCAGGTGCCTAATTTCACTCTAGTCTTAACTTCAAATTTAGCTGGCTCCTGGAATTTCCTCTTCTGCTGGACTGCAGAGCTGATTTAGGGGGTTGTAAACACTTTTTTGGAAGGCAATTCCTGGCTTGGATCTTCAGGGAGATGAAAGTATTTTGCCACTGTTGTAACGGAGGCCTTAAGCTCCAGAGCCAGACAATATTTCAGATATGCCTGTGTGCTTTCTGTTTTATTTTGGTTGCTTCAAGACAACTTTTGACTGAAGGCTCTGACTTTTGTATAGCTCTCTGCTCAGTGAGCTGGTGGCTTTGAATCCCAGCCCAACTTTTAAATAGCAAGTACTGATGTTTAATACAGAATTGTGATTCTGCTTCAAGGGCCAGGTCCATAAAACCTTTCATTAGACTTATCCTTCCCTGTCTATTACTGTTCAAGCTGGCCAAAAATTGTGGAGGTTCAACTTGGTTGCCCACAGACTTGAGCTGTGTTAGTAACATGTTCTGTTTCAATTTCTATGATAAAACAGCTTTCCAAAAATATTTCATGGGACTTGATGCTTTTTTTTGTTGCTGCTACTGATACTATTTTTTATTTTTATTATTTCCTAGTCTGTGGTCAGCTAAACCAGTCCATTCATGCTAGCCACTTCATATCAGACTTAATTTTAAAATTCAGTAACTTTCCAGGCTGGTAGATACTTTGCATACTTTAAAAAAGGGAGCTCTTTTTAGCTCCTAAAATAAATTATTAATTCTCAGTCCTTATAGGTGGCAATATCTTTGAAAGTTCATGCATTTGCCTTGATATAGGACTGCATATCGCTAATAATTCACGTAGACCTAATAATTTTGACAGAGCAAAGGACTGTCTTTGTGAGATAGGGGTTCTTCAGTTTGTTTTTTAGGGTTTTTTTTAGGCATTTCGTTGGATGCACAGACTTTAAGAACACTAGGAAATAGGTTACCGATTAATTCATGGGAAAGCAAGTATCAAAGGTGAATTTAATTCCCAAGTTCTACAATTTTTTGCCCTAGGTATCATGATTTTAAATCCATACAAAAAATACATGCACATGTATGTACATGAATACCAGTGCTAGACTGTTCATAGAGTTTTATAGGAAGAGTTAAAAGTCCCATCTTAGGTTGGTGAAATCAAGTTATATTGATGGACTCTGTATTTAACTTCCATTTTAATCACTGATTGAAGCGCAAGTTCAAAGTGAATGTTGAACAGTTTGGCTGTATGTAATTTTGTTGTTGTTGTCTTCAAGGGGTTAGAGTGTTTATTGAGAAGAAAGCACAGCTGACACTTCTAGGAACTGAAATGGACTATGTAGAAGACAAACTGTCCAGTGAATTTGTCTTCAATAATCCAAACATCAAAGGAACGTGTGGCTGTGGAGAAAGCTTTAACATATGAAATCTCAGTACTATGACTTTGAACACCACAAAACACTTATCGAGCATGTGGCTTTCAAAAGCAAATGCGTTTTCTTCAGGTTCTTAGGCTGTGTAAGGTGTGGATGCCTTTAAGGAAAATAAAGTTAGTTCATTTTGAAAATGTAAATTGTGTGTTAAATTCCAGCACTGATGTATTTATGCTGTAATTTGTGATGAATTGGGATCCAGAAGGTAAGAACAGTAAGTGCTGTAGCATTTTTGTATTTTCATATACAAAGGAAATAAAATCTCATTGTTTTCCTTTGTCTACTCCTCTCTTACTTCCCGATCCAAAACCCATTTGCAAGAATATATCACCTATGTATTCTGCTTTGATTTGAAAAGAAATACTATTTATATGTTTGTGTGTTTATAGATATTTACACAGCTGCACATTCCTCAGTTTCAGAATTCACTATGATTATGTAGATGTGTATTCTTTTTTATTAGGTTTCAGATGCTTTCATATTTCTATGTATAGGTTTTCTGGTAACTTATTTTCCCATAAGTCTAGGGAAGTCCAAAAAAGAAGTTCACGCACTATTTCAGTAGCGGTTCAAAATGTGCTAACCCAATCCTGTACCTTGCCTTGTTGAAGGCACAGTCTCTGATGTAGTTGGAAAGTGGTTTTCAAGAATACAAAGTTAAAATATATTCAGGCATAGAAGTATTAAAGCAGAATACACACAGGCCTGGTTTCTCACATCTCTGTTGTTTCTCTTCATCTTGCTTGACTTAAATTGCAAAATTGGTAAAACTGCTTCCAAACTCTGATTCCCAGTGTTCACACAATGTATGTATTCTCCTATGCTGTCTGTGTACCAGAAGCTATGAAGGTCTTTTTTTGAGAGAGGAAGGAATCTTGTAATTTTCATTAGCTTTTTGTAGTCATGTTTGTTACTAATTTTGTTACAACTTGAACTCTATTTAGTAACTTATAAAACTTATGGTAATTTCTGTTTGACTTCTGTCTTGAGATTAACTTGGTAACAGGAAAACCATTTATAATTTTAAAAGGCTTCTATTTAAAACTTGTTTAAAATTAATCCTGTCAGTAATTAAAATATTATATTTATAGGAGGCTGTTTTTTCTTTGGAAATTAAACTTACTTATTTTCTTCTAATCAGAATTTTCCTTTTCCAAAGCAGTGTTTTTCAAGCTGATAAGTCTTCAGCACTTATTCCACTGTTGCTTGGGCAGAAGTGTAAACCCCTCTGCTGGGCTTCTCACAAGCTGGTATGATAGAAATAGCTTTCCATCCTTTTATCTTTGTTTCCCTGATTGTCCAAAGATGACATGCAGCTAGGCTACTCACTTGTGCAGAAGAAAGGATAATTTGTCTGTCTGGGCAACTGATCTCAACAGTTACTCAAAAGAGTAGTGGACAAGAGGGGCAAGGATATTATAGTCAAAGACAGGAGGGCATTGACATGGGAGCAAACAGAGTATTAAGGCAGGAGGTTGAAAATCCAGAGGTCGCATTGGTCTGGAGAGTTGTTCATAGGTATGTGTGTTTGACAACTTTGGAAAAGTAAAATGCTGAAGGTGTAGGGATGTAAGCTAGGTAGACCTGACTTGGGATAAAGGTGTAGAGGGAAGACTAAAAATGAAAAAACAAAAAACTTCTTGATATATCTTATATAATGCACAGGAATAGAATGATAGAATTTCCACAGGTATAATTTAATATTAAATACTTGAGTTTAATTGTATACTATATTACCTTTTGATGTAAAAACACTGATTTTCTTTTATTAGTCAACTGTTGTACACAATTGCTTTATTTTATATAGTAATTCGGGAAGAACTGGTAATACAAGGGCTAGGTGAATTTATGCCATAAGTCCTTCAGTCTTGCCAAAAAAAAAAAATCTAGTGAACGTGATAGAATTGAGCTCGTATGTCTAAAACTCCAAGTTGAGGGCATTTCTTCAAATTGCATTTCTCTGCTTCTTATTAGAAAATAAGCCTATGAATGTAGCACTGGTGGTTGCTGAGTGCTGTTTTAGTCATTTAATTTGGTTTTGGTGTGCGTTTGTGTGGTTTTTTTTTTTTCCTTCCCCTTAGGCCTTTGGCATGTTTAGCATTCCTTTTCACGTGTGTTGTGTACATGCCTTGAATGAAAGCTTGCACTGTCATACTCCATGAAACAATCTCCTAAAAGTTGTCAATTTACTAAAACAACGCACAATGCGTTAAAGTAAACTTCTGTGAAAGTGCTGATAACCGTTACATAGGAACATTTCGTTGATTAGTTCCTTATAATTTTGTGCAATACTGTATGTGGAGTTCTTGGTTATAATAATAAATATTGCCTGTTGGTAAACATGAAATACTCCTCTGGAATGATTCTGTTTACAATAATAAACAAGTGCTACTGGGAGACAGGGGAAGCACAGAGGAGATCAGGCTTCTATTCTGGGAATCACAAAGAGGTACAACATTATTGTTACCTAAACTAACATTAATGTGAAATACTTCCAAATATTAAATGTTGGATTAGTTTAGGAATGTATTATGAAAATTTATTTACTAAATTAACTATGTACAGGAAAGTATTTTTGCATCTTACTTGGAAAGGTAGGCAGTTAATGCATAGATTTTTATTAAACTTTTCCACACATTATTCTTAGGGTAAAAATTCTAGTAGGCAGATGCTTATTTCAAAAACTTCCATATGCCAAAAATTCGTTTTGGTACGTTTCAGTGAGGGGAAAATGATTCTGATCAAAGTAACTGTTGGCAGAAAAGGGTTTTTCACAGCTAGGCAATTTGAGTGGGAAAATTAATGAAATATCCTGACTGTTCCACAACAGTGCTGTATAATGGTACTAATATGCCTTAGTGTATCATGTTTATGCTACATTTTGGGTCTTTTTCTTAGATATGATCTTTTCACCTCTAAAGCTAAATTTCCTTTTCCTGTTATGTGAGGATTCTGAATGATAGGTGGAAAGCGAAACACTTTGTAAGTATGCTAGAGTTCATCAATGAAGTTGTATATTCATGGTGCTTGGGAGAGTGAACAAAATGTTTCATATAGTCGGGAGCCTGGAAATGCAACAGCTATCTCTTTGTTGGAATTTTTACAGAACTTGTAATCATTGCTCCTTGTGAAGGGTTAATTGCAGCAAGTCTATACCTGATCCACCTCTTTATAGCACTCTTTGAGTGGCTCAAGAAGAAAGACTTGTTGAGGAAAACGTTGAAAAGTTCAGTATGCAAGTCATTCTGACAACAGATGATGAGATAGAATGAATTTGAGCTCAGAAATGAGAAATAAGATGCAGGTAGTGGGACTGTAACATTTAATATTGAATAAACTTTTTTTTGAGTTAAATCCTGTTGGTTTCTTCAGTTTGTTTGTTTCTTACTATGATCATTATTTTCCCCATTTAAATAAATAACTGCAACTTTGCAATCTCTTCTGTCAGAAGAATTTGATAGGTGTCTAATGTGGCAAAGCACATATTTGTGTGTGTTTGTCCTAAAAGAGCACTCAAAAGACTACTTGAAAAATTAATTTTAGTCATGGCCTGTACAGCTTTTTGTCTATAAAATGATCTGCTGTACAGTGTACATTCTCAAATAAGCAGTTTGGCTTGCTTTGTTCATACCTTAAAAGTGAGATAATGTTCCTTCAACTTGATGAGCTAAAATGCAGGTAGTTAGCACAATTTCACAGGCATTTGGGTTTGAGCAGCACTAGAATAGTAATTTTTATATGCAAATATCTTAAATATATTTCTTAAATATTCTTCTTAAGTAGAAATGCAGTGCTAGAAGATATCTGCTGAATTTAAGCAAGGTCTTCACCCTCATCTTTTACAGTCCCCTTCTGTGGGCTATTTCTTACAATGTATGTGTTTTAACCAATAATTGTTCTCCCCAAGCCAAGCTGTGGAACCCAGGAGTCCTAGACCAGGTCCAGCTGCGCTGCCCTAACCCCTACTTCTCTTCATAGGCTCGACTGTAAATACTAGTTCATGGGGAAAAATATATCTTGCTACAGGGTGGCAGCAAGTTTCCAGTCCATCCATTTCAAAACAAGAATTGCTTCTCTCCTGACACCCATGCTCTAAATTTCCTATTGTATTTCATGTATATTGGAGTACTTTTGCTTATAGTGATAACTGTTGTGAAGTTGTGCTGTTTGTCCTTTTATGCATTTCTTTCTGTGCTTTTTATCCATTCTTGAAGGGAGACAGATGGTTGTAGAAGTGCAGAAAGCCAAATCACTTTAGACCTCCTGATGCGAAGAGTAACAGACAAGCAGAGCATAGCTTGCTGACCAACTGCAGTCAAGGACAATGCTTTTTATTATTAAGTGGTTTTTTTCAGGGGTGTTCCTTCATGTGCTAGTAGTGTGCTGATGTAGTTCATTACTGTTGTATACGACTTCAAATTATTGCAGATTTGTTTCTGATTGATTGTTAACTTTAACCTCTAGGAAAATTGAAGTTCCTTGTTGGAATGATACAATCCAGTGGGGTGAGGAATCTGATGAGACTCTGTAGTGTCTGTTCATAGCAGAAGTACCCTCATCTGCTATACCTTACTTAGCTGAGTTTTTTGCTGATTGCATAATGATTTTATTGCATATGATTTAATGCTAATTTCCTTCTATAGCTTACTGAAACTAAGTCTAGATAGTGGAAATAAATTCTACGTATTGATTAATGAAACAATGAGGCAGCCTCAAAAAATTTGAAATAACCTGAGTAGTAGAATTCATTTCACACAGGATTTCCAGCCAGCCACTTCCTTTTTCAGACATCTCTTTTAATCTTTCATTTGTTCATGTGAGTCATTCACATAAACCTGTCATACCTAATCACAGTATTCTTTCTGATTCAACACTAAATATTTGTATAAAGTGTGGCAAAACTGTGTTTAAATTAAATTGCTTTGCTGTTAATTATGTTATTTCTCGCCTTGTACTTTCACATAAGAGGCTTAAATGTAAACAAGCATTTGAATGAGGAGAAAAGGCAAAGTGCTGATGAATTTAATGTTGCCAGATCCACTGAAGCACATAGCTGGTAGGAATGGGAACTAGTCCCTCCTGGAAGCTGTCGCCCTCCTTTTTGATAAGAGATTTGTAGACTGCAGTCCTGTTCTGCAAACTAGAGCTGGTTGAAGTGTAGTGAATTTTCAATGAATTGAATATCAAAAACATTTATAAAAAACAATACTTGGGTGTAAATAGTAATAAAAAACTACTGTTTGGAAACTGTTGAAAAGATAAATCATATTGCTT